ACTGAACATTCTCCGGGGGAAATTTCCCCCTCCCCAAAGTGGGGTCCCCCGAGCCTTCCCCCAAATCCCGTCCCGTATCCCCTGCGTGGGAGACCCGCAAACCAAAAAAAGGGGGTGCGGGTGGTTCCTTCCCCCCCTCCCCACGGGCCCCCGCTCCGTTAACACCCCTCGGGGGGCTCCGTGGTCCCGGTAGCCCCGTCGGGGCTGTCGCCGCGGGCCGTGGGCGAGGGTCCCCGGGTGTTCCTCGCCCCCGGCGGGCACCCGCGGGCTTGATGGTGGCCGTGACAGGGTGACACGCGTGGAAATTTGGTTTTTAGCCCCCTTGCCCTAATTGCCGGCGCGCTGCCCCCGCGGAGCCGCCGCGCTGAGCATCCCGCGGTGAAATCCGCGCTGCTGCCTCCCCCCTCTCCCCGACCCTCTCTCCCCCCCCGCACGTTGTGTTTTCCCCTCCGCCGTCTAAAATACAATAATAAAAAAAAAAAATCCCCTTTGTTTTCATTGTTTATTCTCAGATTCTGTGGAAATTTGGTTTTTAGCCCCCTTGCCCCAACTGCCGGGGCGCTGCCCCCGCGGAGCGGCCGCGCTGAGCATCCCGCGGTGAAATCCGCGCTGCCGCCTCCCCCTCCTCTCTCCCCCCCCGCACGTTGTGTTTTCCCCTCCGCCGTCTAAAATACAATAATAAAAAAAAAAAATCCCCTTTGTTTTCATTGTTTATTCTCAGATTCTTCGTGGGGGGGGGGGAGCGTGGGGGGGGAGAATTCTATCATTTCTCGCCCCTCGCGAAGATTAAACGAGGGAAACCCGGCGTCGCCCTCAAAAATCCGGGTAGCAAAGCAAACTGTTGGGAAGGGAGTGATGGCTTTGCCTGCTCCCGAAAAGTCTTCCCGGTGGGTTAATATTCGCAATATTAATGATAAAAGAGCGGGCAGCCCGGCTTTCATTGGCTGCCGCCTTTGCCTCCCCGCATCACGCACTCTCCCATCAGCTCGGGGCATTCCGGGCTGTATTTCGGTCATTTACATCCTACAATATGAGGGAAAATAAAAATTAAAAAAATAAGAAGGCAGAGAGGAAAAATAAAATTTCCTTTGCGATGCCTTCTTCCTTAAATACTTCCATTTTCACCCCAAGGCGTCTGTCCTGGCAGGGCACCTGTTGCAGTTGTATATTCCCCGAAGATGGGGTTTTATAAACTTCGTAGCCCACCCCCCACCCCCCT